GCCTGGGGTTTTCTCCTTGTTTTGTTCTCCTCCGAGTCTCCGGTCGGCTGGGCAGTGTAAGTGTGGCTGGGGGTGAATGTTGAGGCCTGGTTTCCCGACGGGCCCATGGTAGGTCTTGGGGGGCCGCGGGCGCCCGCACCCCGGTTCTTCGCGCCCCCCACCCGGAGGTTGTGCAGTTGGGAGGCCGCACCCCGCGGAGGGTGGACAGTTGGGTGCAGCCCGAGCAGTAGGCCTGGGAGATGCAGGCCCGCTCGTAGGGTGCGTGCGCCGGCCCGTGGGCGAGGGGCGCGTCCCCCGCACGCCGCGCTGCCCGGGACCCCAGGAGAAGGAGGTCCGCCCCTGTTTGCTGAAGGTCACCTCTGCGCCACCACGTCCCCAGACAGGACCGTGGGTCGCGGTCAACTGGGAGAACAGTCTGAACGTGGCTAGCCCAGGGGTGGGGGTGGGGAGGGCGACCGAAGGAGACGTCTGGAGCCGAAGCCGCCGTTTGGAGGTTCAGGAGGGAATGGGCAGTGTTTTCTCTCCTTGCAAAAAATTTAAGTCAGTCAGTGTGTATATGAACTGAGATGGATTAAAAAATATATATGTATACATACATATATATTGCCTTATAGGACGCGTTCTTTTCTACAATTTAATTAGTATCTGCGAAGTGTCTGCACTTTTTGGCTTTTCAACCCCCTGATACCTTGCATCCTTTTTGTCTTAATTTCAATATCTTCTTCTCTGTGAACTTTGGGAAAGCTAATCAGCATGTGTCTGCGTTAAATGACTTAAATCTTGGCCAGTACTTTTTTCTGCCCTTTTTTTCTAAAAGCTTGTGATGTTGATGGAATTCTGGGGAAATGGGGAAAGTTGCTTTCTAAAAAATTACCTAAATATCTCTAATTAGCCTTTTGAGCTGACTTCTTAGTCCCTTTGAAATTGGCTATAAATGTATCATTTGTTGAGCTTCTTAATAGAGACTTAATATTGCCTGTCTCCTTAACCTAACTGTACAGGGCAGTAGACAGTTGTAGCATTTCTGTCTTTAGCTCTACTAAGGGCAAGTGTTAACCACCTGAATTGTTTTCCCAGGTTGATGAAAAAACTTGTTGGATTCTTACTCAATCCAGTTTTTCCTTGGTTTTGTAGATAAGAGTTCCTTAAGTATGGGTCAGGTCCCTCTTGCTGCCTGTTTATGATCTGTTTGTTCTCTGGTCTGATACGCCAGCTGCCTTTCCAGTTATCTACTCTACTTTGCCTACCGAGTTAGGAACACACGTTTAGTGTAGCATTCAAGGCCTCTGCTACATGGAACCAAGTTCTTTTTGCCAGCTCATCTTTGGCTCCTAACTGGACCCTGCAGTTTAGCTAACTGTGATTATTGCTATTGTCAAATGAGTCTTTGCATACTGCTTCTTTCCCTCATCCCTGGAGTTCAAATGCCCTCTTTTTATGCATTTTATGTATCTTTGTGTGTGTACTGTCTTAACTATAGCATTACAATTAGATGAACTCAAACCCGATGTGAAGTCCATTTCCTACCAAGCTGTTCGGATATACCTTTCTGTTGATTTAGTATATACAAGCCAGGCCCAAGCAAGGTCATTTAAGTTAGTGGTATGCACTTCTTGCTTCTGAAATAATAGTTCACTACCCATTGGCACTGTGGACGAAAGACTTGCTGATCTGCTTCCATAAAGTTACAGCCAAGAAAACCTGTTTGGGGTCACCATGAATCAGAATCTACTTAACTGGCCTTGGGGTTTTTTTTTCATAATAACTTCTAGTGAGTTAGTCTATAGAAATAAACATTGGTTAGGCTGTTAAATTAATATGTTGACATTTCTTCACTTATCTTGGAAGGAGTCCAAAACTACCTACCTGGAAGACCTACCACCCCTCCCTGAGTATGAGCTGACTCCATCCAAGTTAGGCGACGAAGTGGATGATGTTTATCTTATTCGAGCTCAAGGATTGCCCTGGTCATGCACTTTGGAAGACGTGCTTAACTTTTTCTCAGGTATGTTTTATGTATGCTTTAAATAAGTTGTTAGGAGAGTAAAAGCCCCGCAAAATGCAATTCAGGCTATGCAGTAGATACTTACTTGATTGTTGGGGAATTGTCTCATGGCTTGTTACATATTCATAGCAAGTCATGCCATGGGTCATACCATTTGTGATACATAAAACTTAAAAAATGTGAGCAACAAATGTATTTAATGTTAAAATTTCATAATAGGACATCAGGGTTTTTATTTTTTTAACTTTAATACGTACATATGAAAAAGATGAACCTGGCTAGTGGACATATGGGTTTCAGATAAATACTTTATGTAATATATACATTTAGAATATAAGATCACCTAGTAACGGGAGAAAGGTGAGGCTTCCCACTCTGGTTAAGATTTCTAGTCAGAATGGACTAAATGACATTGAGTTTTGAGTGTCAAGTAATAAAATTCTTTTGATAACATGGTTGGAAGGTTTACTAATATGTGATTGATTTTTATCTCTGACAAGAATTTTTAAATTTTCTTCTTAAATATTTTTAAATAATTTTATTGAATGTATTAAATACCTTAATGTAAATGTTACTGTACATACAGGCCAAGCATTTTATAAAGCCATATATATCTTCAACTTCTATTATAAGAGATGTCTTCCTTTGGTAATGAAAGGGAGAAATTTAAATTATGTTAGCAAAATTATTCTCTTAAGGAGATATTAACAGTACTTACGGGTGTGATTTTTTTTTTTTAACAAAGGAGGACATTTATGCATAAACCTAACCATGTCGTCATTCCTTAAGTGATTTGAAACTGATGAGAAACTTTAGAATGGACACAGTGTATTGTGTGATGGGCCTATTTTGTGGTTTGCTATTTAAAGGTCAGGAGATCATAATGTTTCATGTTCTCTTATCTTTTCCAATTGAAACACTCTAGAGACTACTACCATACTGACATTTGGATGGTTTAGTGATTGGGCTTTGTGTCAAAAATAAAGCAGGCAGTTTGGTTCCTGCCTTTCTTTCATGTTGGGAAATTGCATTCTTGGTGACTACTTGTGTCATTGATCTAAAAGTTTGACTTCTGTTCTTAATTGATTTTACACATATATTTAGACTGCAGAATCCGCAATGGTGAGAATGGAATACATTTCCTCTTGAACAGAGATGGGAAACGAAGGGGTGATGCCTTAATTGAAATGGAGTCAGAGCAGGATGTGCAGAAAGCCTTAGAGAAGCACCGCATGTACATGGGTCAGCGGTATGTGGAAGGTACGTGAAGCTAGATTTTGGCTTTTCGGGATCATTGCATTAGCACTCCATACTTTTCAAGGGTGTTTTCATTCACATACATATTTTTTAATTTGGGTGTTTTATTGATAGAATGTTTGCGTATGTTATGCTTTTGCATTGTAGTCTATGAGATAAACAACGAAGATGTGGATGCCTTAATGAAGAACCTCCAGGTCAAATCTTCCCCTGTGGTCAATGATGGGGTGGTTCGCTTGAGAGGACTTCCTTATAGCTGCGATGAGAAAGACATTATCGACTTCTTTGCAGGTGCTTTTCAGTTGTACATGTTTGGAACTGCCTCTCTTTCTCCCATTACCGCTCTTTCTGTACCTCAGGTGAACCTTTCCTAGGTAACAGAATACAGTTATGTTCTTGGGGGCGGGGGTCAGCCCTTCATTCAGATTTCCAATGTTAATAGATTATCTAAAAGTTTTGCTCTATCAGGCAGATCTTTGGCAGTGGTCAAATTTTCCTCATAGGCAAAGCTGCCTATGGCAGTAATTATTTAATGCAAAGAAAGTAACCAATATACACCATTAATTATGATCTTAGTCTAAACTCTATTGCCCCTTAATGTATGATTAATGACCAAAAAAGGGAAAAGTTGTGTGTTTAAAGAGACTGATTGGACCTTAGGCTACTAGAAATATAAGTGTGCGGTATTGTGCATACTTTTGGCTGCATGATGGTTCTTTTAGTGTGGATCTAGCCATCTTAGGCTGGGGCAGAGTAGTATGAACATTTTTTAAAGAATTATTGAATGAATACGTTAATACTAAGGATAACAATTCCTACTGACAGCACTCATTTGCAATCCTCTTGGTGTCCTAGGGCTGAACATAGTAGACATTACTTTTGTCATGGACTACAGAGGGAGAAGGAAAACAGGGGAAGCCTATGTGCAGTTTGAAGAACCAGAAATGGCCAACCAAGCCCTGTTGAAACACAGGGAAGAAATTGGTAATAGGTGAGTGAAGTGTCACACATCAGGTCATTTTGATTAATGTATTATTATTCACTTCTGTAAAAGTTTTCAAACACGGCATATTAGATTAGAATGATGAATGAGTCCACAACTTAGATGAGCAAATTATTAACATATTTATGTTTCCTTTATTAGTTTTCTCAGTGGGTATATTTTTTAAAAATACCTTATTCTTACATAATCACATTTAACAAAATTTCATATAACTCAATGCCATTCTATAATTACATTCTTTTTACTTTTAATGCCATTGAGTTTTATATAAATCTAGTCAGTTGTACTACATAGTGTCTCACTTTCTGTATTTATCATATTGCTTCCTTGCAGTTTCGTTTGCCTTGTTCTGTTACCTTTATTATTTCTTCGAAAAGAAGTTAGAGCTGAGTTCTGAATTGGTTCAGGTTAACCTTTTGATGAGGTTACTCTATGCAGCGTATCACATCCAGGACTCTGAAACAATTTAGACTGGTTCAGTCATGGCCAGTGAAGCAAAGTCAGAACATACCTGGATTTTAAAAATCTGGTGGAAAGGAAAGGGCAATGAGAACGGGTAAATTAGGGGTTGAAGCCCTGGAATGGGTGACTGAGAAGAGATACAGTGAACCCTGATGCAAGAGCTAGGTTATTGGCAAAACTGGAGAGTGACACACATTCAGAGCATAATCATCACTTCTGAGCAGGTCCCTGTTTTTCTGGCAGTGCCAGTCATGAGCTTTGGTTGATGTGCAATATGCTGCTCTTGTTTTCTAGAGGGAGATTAAGTTTCTAGCCGGGCAGTACTGACCCATACATAATTTTTTGCCATTTCAGTTATTCTCATCCCAACGTTCACAAATTTATGTTCGTTCTAGTTCACCTCATGTACCATGACTGAACTGGATATAAGCCTGATACATTACATCATTATGCATGTAATGATGGATGGGCTCATTTTAACTTGAATTTTGGAGGTGTGGGCAAAAGCCCTGATGTTGTAGTGGCGCTGTGTTGGGCTGCGATTAGAAGGGTCCTTCAAAATCACCAGCAGCTCTACAGGAGAGAGACTGGGCTTTCCACTCCTGGAAACGGAAACACACAGTCTCAGGAACACAGCGGGTCACCGTGCGTCAGCATTGACTCAATAGCAGGGAGTGAGAGTCAAGGGTGTTACATTTTAAATTACTGTGTTACTGCCTAACGGTGCTTTCCCCAGCTTTTTCAAAAAGGAAAAATGATTGCATGTTTCTGGATCTATTTCTAAAGCTGGTTCAAAGATTTTCACTGAATTTTGTTACATTTTGGAATACACAGATGGTGTGTTTTTATATGGGGACAGTAAGACAGTGTACAGACATCTTTAATAATTCAGGAAGTGATTCTTTTCTAGTCTGTATAGGTCTGACATACAAGTGGTTTTTCCAACTTTAATTCAATAACCTAGTTTGGAAAAGCAGTGAATCTTACCGAAACTGGGTTTTATAAATATAAATGGGACTTAATAAATAGTCCCCTGGCCACTAGGATTTTCACTTAGAATTAAACCTTTAGTTTTTGAATTCTCATTAAACACTTAGTGAAATTTTGGGAAAGTTAACTTTTCAAGCACTGGTTTTACCATCTTTATAGGTATGATTAGTTTCCATAGAATGGCACTAAAAAAGCTTCAAGAATTTAACCAACAGTAAAAAGAAAAACCCCTTCTTACCAGGTTAATTCTGTTCTACACAGAGTTAATCTTAGCATAGTTGTCTTCATGAAGACAAACCGGGCGGAACATATTATCTTAAAAAATCATTTTATTAGGGGCTCATACAACTCTTATCACAATCCGCACAGACATCAATTGTGTAAAGCACATTTATACATTCATTGCCCTCATCATTCTCAAAACATTTTGCTCTCCACTTAAGCCCCTGGTATCAGCTCCTCACTTTTTCCCCTCCCTCCTGCTCCCCTCTCCCTCATGAACCCTTGATAATTTGTAAATTATTATTTTGTCATATCTTGCCCTGTCCGACGTCTCCCTTCACCCACTTTTCTGTTGTCTGTCCCCCGGGGAGGAGGTTGTATGTAGATCCTTATAATCGGTTCCCCCTTTCCACCCTACCCTCCCTGCACTCTCCTGGTATCGCCACTCTCACTATTGGTCCTGAAGAGATCATCCGCCCTGGATTCCCTGTGTTTCCAGTTCCTATCTGTACCAGTGTACATCCTCTGGTCTAGCCAGATTTGCAAAGTAGAATTGGGATTATGATAGTGGGGGGTGGGGGAGGAAGCATTTAGGAACTAGAGGAAAGTTGTATGTTTAATTGTTGCTACACTGCAGCCTGACTGGCTCGTCTCCTCCCTGTGACTCTTCTATAAGGAGATGTCCAATTGCCTACAGGTGGGCTTTGGATCTCCACTCCGCACTCCCCCTCATTCACAATGATAGGATCTTTTGTTATGATACCTGATCCCTTCGACAACTCGTGATCGCACAGGTTGGTGTGCTTCTTCCATGTGGGCTTTGTTGCTTCTGAGCTAGATGGCTGTTTGTTTACCTTCAAGCCTTTTAAGACCCCAGACACTATACCTTTTGATAGCTGGGCACCACCAGCTTTCTTCACCACGTTTGCTTATGCACTCACTTTGTCTTCAGCAATCGTGTTGGGAAGGTGAGCATCATGGAATGCCAGTTTAATAGAACAAAGTATTCTTGCATTGAGAGAGTACTTGAGTGGAGGCCCAATGTCCATCTGCTACCTTAATACTAAATCTGTGCATATGTGCACATAGATCTATTTCCACATCCTCATATATAAATATATTTACATATGTACATGCCTGTATTTAGACTTCTATAAATGCCCTTTGCCTCCCAGCTCTTTCCTCTATTTCCTTTGACTTTCCTCTTGTCCCACTATCATGTTCAGCCTTCATTTAGGTTTCAGTAACTCCTCTTGTTTATATTACCCTTGGTCACGCCCTACCAGGCCTCCTAAACCCTCTTCGCCACCAGTTTGGATCACTTGTTGTTCCCTTGTCCCTGGGTTTGTTAACAGAGAATTATTATCTTAGGGCAGAAAGGGAGTTCAGTCAGTGACTCAAACAAACAAAAAAACCCCCGAAACTCACATGCCATGAGTTGATTCAGATCCTTAGAGACTGTGAGCTGTCTTGTCTACAGAAACAAATACAGTGGCACTCACCTATGTAAGAAAGAGCTTTACATCAAGAAGTAATTGTATATCAGGAAGGCATCACAGCCCAGACCAACCCAAGTCTGAGTCCTTCATACATAGCCAAGCACACTGATACAGACTGCAGGAAGAGCACAGGTCAGTGCGTGCAGAGTCTTGTAGGTCCAAAGCCTCTGGAAACATGCAAGGCATCAGTAGGAAGGTGAAGGGGCAGAGGGACAGGGAGGTTTCCAGCCCAGCCCCTTATAAGAAGGCCACATCCCCAAGGAGGCATTATCTGGCCATGACCTGATTGACAAGTGGATCACACCCCTATCCATTCATACATCTTCAAATTGACATAAAATCCTCTAACGTACACAGAAACTGTGTAGGACAGCTCAGAACTACCTCAATGGGTTCCCGAGACTAGAACTTTATGGGCGTAGAACACATCATCTTCGTTGGAGTGACTGGTTTCGAACCGCTAACCTTTGAGCTTGAGACTAGTAATGCACTGCACCACCAGATCTCTTAAATCACATTTTGTAGGGTAATATTTACATCAATTCTAAATTTTGTTGACACCTGTTAATTTTGTGTTTTTTAAGCTTATGGCATTATAACATAGTTTGTTTTAAATGGGTTTGGAGTTATTCTTGCCGTTTAAGCCTGTTCACTTTTCCTTCGATACAGGTATATAGAGATATTTCCAAGCAGAAGGAATGAAGTTCGTACACATGTTGGATCTCATAAAGGAAAGAAAATGGCATCTTCTCCTACTGCTAAGTATATAACTGAGCCAGAAATGGTCTTTGAAGAGCATGAAATAAATGAGGATCTTCAACCCATGACAGCGTTTGAAAGCGAGAAGGAAATAGGTAAGGACCACTCCGCAAAGAGTTGCACTCATGGAACCCGTGGGGGCAGGTCTACCCTGTCCCATCGGGTCACTGGGTTGGAACCAACTCAGTGGCAGTGTGTTTGGTTTGTACCTCTGGAGACGAGACTCAGTGAGTCTATTTGTAGTCTTTGGTCTTGTTACAATAACATTTTCTTAATGGCCATTTTGTACGAAGTTGTAAGGTTGTAGGGAAAGGAGGGAATTAAGCTGCAAAGAAAGGTGTGTTTTGTGTTGTGAGAGTAATAGGGCAGTCCCGATGTAATTACACCCAGTGTCATATGGCAGTGCAAGCGGTGAAGCACTCGACCGCTGCTGGCGAAGTTGGCTATTCAGACTCACTCACGGGCGTCTTGGAAGCAAGGACCAAAGAGGTGCTTCGGAGTGACCCTTAAACCCCGTGAAGGGCAGTTCTGCTCACATGGGTCTGCCATGAGTCTGAATGACTCGATGGCGAGGTTTGTGTGTGTGATTTTTAGTGTAGTATGTTCTCAGAATATATACAGAAGGGCACAGCTGTTTATTTAGACTTCTTAATTTAATCATTTTTGTAGATCGTGATTTTGAATAGAAAGCTAGAATATATACCGAAGGTACGGACTTTTGTGTGTTTATTTCCGAATTTAATTCTGTGATTGCTAACCCCAAAACAACATTTCAAATCGTTGAAGTTTGATAGATCCTGTTGTAATTAATGTCCTGGAATTATCCTGTCGTCATCATCATTTAACTTCTCTGTTGCTAGAGAAAGATATGTTCTTAATTTGGCAATGGTTTGAGGTCCCACTGGATTTTTATTACAGGTTAAGGTCAAGGAAGAATAGAATTTTATAGCTCTCAAATAATGTGGGTTGGCTTAGTGTTTAAGGGAGTTGACGTTAAAGTAAGTTGGTTCCAACTATCCATTTTTAAGTGGTTTGGGGAGGTCGTTAGAGGAAGATGTTTCTAATCATTTTGACTTCTTTACTGAGGGTTTGAGGATTTTGACATTAGGGCCATCTGCCGAAGTGAAGCCTGTTCACTTCTGAAGCACCCCTGGTGCTGTAGTGCTACCTACTGCGAAGTCAGCAGTTTGAAACTACACCAATCCACTCCTTGGGATTTCTTCCCCGGAAACAGTGGCAGACTTGGAAATACCCAGGGTAGTTTTCCCGTATTCTGTGGGGTCACTATGCGTCGGAGCCGGTGGCAGTAAGTTTGAGTGCTTCATAACGTATGAAGTTCTTTGTTTTTTATTGTGCTTTTTGTTTATCCTTCTTTCAGAATTACCTAAGGAGATGTCCGAAAAGCTTCCAGAGGCTGTCGATTTTGGAGCTACACCTTCCGTACATTTTGTTCACATGAGAGGACTGCCTTTCCAAGCTAATGCCCAGGATATTATAAATGTGTGTGGCAGTAAGACATTATCCGATCTCATTAGGTTTCAGTAAAAGTTCTAAGAGCCTCGGTTAGTGTGGAGAAGATGGAGAAACAAACGCTGCGGCAATAGCTGACTAGTACGATGGCATCTGCACGGTTCTGAAAACTGGTTTCACTTTCTAGTTAAAGTTTGGGATTTTTATTACAGTTTAAGGTCAAGGATGGATAGGATTTTATAGCTGCCAAATAAGATGTGTGGGCTTAGTGTTCAAAGTCAGGAAGCGGGCTTTTAGAATTGGGTCCATCTGTTCCTTTTTTAATGTAGGAAACAGACTCGGTGGCAGTAACTGCCGCAGAACAGTTAGACCATAGCCAGGAATGTATTTCTCCTAAAGGCCAAGAAGTTTCATTAGACCGTGTGTCAGGATTGTTTGTTTTTAAGAAAATGAATTGTAAGTAGATTGTTCTTTCCTAATAGATGTTGCATGAAGTAAACAAAACAGCAAAGTCCTTAGTTAACTTTATGAACTTGAAATCTTTTTTTTGTTTCCCCAGAGTTAAAACTCCTTTATTTATTTACTTACTTTAAAAGATCATTTTATGGGGGCTCTTACAGCTCTCATAACAATCCATACATTCATTGTATCAAGTATATTTGTACATATGTTACCATCATCATTTTCTAAACATTTACTTTCTATTTGAGTCCTTGGTATCTGCTCCTCTGAACTTGAAATCTTATTTAAGGTGTTTTCAAATCTAGATTCTTTAGTTAACGGGACTTCACATTGTGCTTCTTATTTCAAAAGAGCTTAATAGGAATCATAGCTTTTATCCAGTTCAAGATTGTACAGTCAGATTAAAGCATTGCATTCTGTTTCTTTGGTTTGATGTGGTAACAACTCAGTATAGTATCTCTCGATATGAAACGCTATGGCGTACGTATTTAAAATGCAAAAAGCATAGTATCAAGAAAAGTGTGACTGCTGAACAATCTCTAGAATCATGGAATAATGTGGGTGGGAGGAATATTAAAGTTGGTCCCTGGTTTAAAAGAAGTGCGAGAGCCATTTATATAGTGATTATGTATACAGCTTTTAGATTTTTGTGAACAGGTATTGGAAATATAACCTAGAGTTTGGACAAGCCTGGAAAAGCCAGAAGAGATCAGAAGTGTGTAATGCTTTAGGATCTTTAAGGAAATTTATCCAATATGTGAATCAAAATTAGAGAAAAATGCAAAACCACTAGACTTGTACAATGTGGATTTGGCTCCAGTATGTCCCTTTTGGCTTTGTTCTTTGTTTTAGTTTTTTGCTCCACTGAAGCCTGTTAGAATCACCATGGAATACAGTTCCAGTGGGAAGGCCACTGGTGAAGCTGATGTGCACTTCGATACCCATGAGGATGCTGTTGCAGCCATGCTCAAGGACCGGTCCCATGTCCGTAAGTGCTGGCCTTTGTTGTCATCGTCGTTTTTGATGCTTGTCTTCCCTTTCAGATGCGTTCATCTGCCTTGGGGTTTCCTAGTCTAGGAAGATTGTACTCTTAATAATACTGAATTAAATGGAAAGAGGGTAAAATGCTATGTTATAAAAAATAAATAATGCTGTGTTAAAATGAAAAGCGATTATTGTAAAGTATCCTGCATCTTTCTCTCTGAAATTATTCTTTTTAGTTAGGGAAAGAAAAGGGACAAAAGGTATGAGTTGAACTGTCGGAAAATTGTCTCCAGTACTTTTTCTGACTTCCACATTTTTTAAAGCTAATTTTTTGTTTGTCATCTTTAGAGCATAGGTATATTGAACTGTTCCTGAATTCATGTCCAAAAGGAAAATAAGATTTCCAAGAACTCCAAATAAGGTAAATTTAAGGATTACAAATGTGTGAATTATGTCTTCCTGATAAATTAGTAATCCTGAACTAAAAAATTGGTAACATTGTAGAAGCCATTTTATGTATACACACACACACACACACACACACACATCAACGCAATCTTGGTCAAACATCACACTATAAGGACTGAAAGCTCACCTGGACAATAGTACTAGAGAATTAGCTCCACACCAAATTGTTTTTGTGTCATCATCAGTATTCACCATGCTGTGTGCCTAATAATTGCTTCCTGCTCTTGGCTATAAAGAATACTCTGAAAACCTGCCTTACATTAGCACTTTCCCCACGAAGTTTAAACGAGTTTATAAGATACTGTAAAAATCTTTAAAGTGCTATATTTGATCATTTTAAAGATACACGGGACATTTCTTATCCTAGAATAGTAATAAAAAATTATGGATTGCCCCAGAAGTACATAGCTTCATAATGTTAACTGAAAAATTTGCCAAATATGCCACTTTACCATCACTTTTCTTGACTAAATGTTAAATAATATTTCCCCCAATAAAATATTTAAATACACTTAACTATGATCATTTCCTACCTGTAATGATACGGCTGTCTGAGACACTTAACTAAGGATTTCTTCATTCAAAACATGGTGGTATTCCATTACTACAGTCAGGTTGTCATTTATTTCTGGATAAGAGAAGTTTATAATAAGTTCTACAGTCCTATGATGTTAAATAGTTATATCAGCTAAAGTCTATTTAAAATCTATTCCATGCTCAACTCTGAAAATACTGTATATACTTGTGTATAAGCCGAGTTTTTCAGCACTTTAAAACTCTTCTCACAATCCATACGTACATCCATTTTGTCGAGCACATTTGTACTTTTGTTGCCATCATCATTCTCAAAACATTTTCTTTCTACTTGAGCCCTTGATATCTGCTCATTTATCCCCTCCTTCATGAACCCTTGATAATTTATAAATTATTATTATTTTGTCATATCTCACACTGTCCAATGTCTCCCTTCACCCACTTCTCTGTTGTCCTTCCCCCAGGGAGGAGGTTATATGTAGATTCTTGTAATCAGTTTCCCCTTTCTACCCCACTTTCCCTCCACCCTCTCGGTATCACCACTCTCACCACTGGTCCTGAGGTTTCCAGTTTCTTGGATTCCCTGTGTTTCCAGTTCCTATCTGTACCAGTGTTAAGTCCTCTGGTTTAGCTGGATTTGTAAGGAAAAATTGGGATCATGATAGTGGGAGGGGGCAGGGGGAAGGTAGCATTTAGGAACTATAGGAAAGTTGTATGTTTCACCATTGGTACCCTGCACCCTGACTGACTCATCTCCTCCGCCACCCTTCTGTAAGGGGTTGTCCATTTGCCTGCAGATGGGCTTTGGGTCCCCACTCTGCACTCCCCCCTCAGTCACAATGATTTTGTTCTTTGATGCGGGATACCTGATCCCATTGACACCTCTTGATCACACAGGCTGGTGTTTCAACACATTTTTAATACGGTTTTTGTGGTAAAGTTAGGTGCCTCGGCTTATACGTGGGTCAGCTTATACTCGAGTATGTATGGTATCTTCCTACAAGGATATAAGCATTAATATGTTAATTACTTTTCCTCACTTTAATTGATTTGTCAGCTACTTTGGGTTAAGTCATAAAGAGAAAAAACGGAATAAACAAGCCAGAAGAGAACAATGGGATGACAGTTCCTGGGGAACATGGGAGTAGGGGAGTGGGGGGAAAGGAAGTGGGTGTTAACAAGCCCAGGGACAAGGGAACAACAAGTGATCCAAAATCAGTGTCGGAAGGAAGGTGTGGGAGGTCTGGCAAGACTGGATCAAGGGCAGTGTAACAAAGAGGAATTCCTAAAACCCAAATGAAGGCAGAACATGATAGTGGGACAAGAGGGAAGTACAAAGAAATAGAGGAAAGAACTAGGAGGCAAAGGGTAGTCATAGAGATTTAAATAAAGGCATATAAAGATGTAAATATATATGTGACGGGGAAATAGATCAATGTACATATATTTATATGTTGAGTATTAAGAAAACAGGTGGACAGTGGGCCCCTGCACAAGTACTCCCTCAACACAACACTTTGTTCTAACAATTCGGCAGTCTAAGATGCTCACCATCCTGGCACGATTGCTGAAGACAGTGGGTGTGGTGTACAAGCAAATGTGGTGAAGAAAGCTAATGGTGCCCAGCTACCAAAAGATATAGCACCTGAAGTCTTAAAGACCTGAAAATAAACAAGCAGCCGTCTAGCTGAGAGAGAACAAAACCCACATGAAAGAAGCACACCAGCCTGTCCCAACTCGATCCCTGAGGACTAAGTGGGTGCATAAGCAAAAGTGGTGAAGAAAGCTGATGGTGCCCGGCTATCAAATGATATAGCGTCTGGGGTCTTAAAGGCTTGAAGGTAAACAGGCGGCCATCTAACAGAAACAACAAAGCCCACATGGAAGAAGCACACCAGCCTATCCCGACAGGAATGCTGAAGTCAAAGTGGGTGCATAGGCAAATGCAGTGAAGAAAGCTGAAGGTGCCCGGCTGTTAAAATATATAGAATCTGGGGAATATATATATAGGCTGGAAGAGAAACAAGGGGCCATCTAACTGAGAAACAACAAAGCCCACATGGAAGAAGCACATCAGCCTGTGAGATCGCAAGGCGTCCAAGGGATCAAGACCAAAAATAAAAATCAGCATTGTGAATAAGGGGAAATGTGGAGTGGGGACCCAAGGCCCACCTGTGGGAAATTGGACATCTCCTTGCAGAAGGGCTGCGGGGAGGAGATGAGCCAGTCAGGGTGCAGTGTAGCAACGATGAAATACACAGTTTTCCTCTAGTTCTTGAATGCTTCCTCCCCCCACACCTCCACTATCATGGTCACAATTCTACCTTACATATCTGGCTGGACCGGAAGCTGTACACTAGAACAGATAGGAACTGGATATACAGGGAATCCAGGACAGATGATCCTCTCAGAACCAATATTGGGAGGGTGGTGGAGGGAAGGGGAGGGAGAAGGGGAACAGATTACAAGGTCTACATATAACCTCCTCCCTGGGGGATGGACAGTGGAGAAGTGGGTGAGGGAGACGTTGGATGGTGTAAGATAGGACAAAATAATTTATAAATTATTAAGGGCTCAGGGAGGAGGGGGGAGCAGGAAAGGAGGGGGGAAAATGAGCTGATACCAAGGGCTCAAGTAGAAAGCAGGTGTTTTGAGAATGATGATGGCACCATATGTGCAAATGTGCTGGACACAATTGATGTATGTATGGATTGTGATAGGAGTTGTATGAGCCCCTAATAAAATAATTAAAAAAAAAGAAAAAAACAAAACTACTTTTACATGTTTGAGAATCTATGTAGTCGTTTTTCTACTTTGAGTAAATATATATTTATTATTTTGTTTTATTTTCAGGGTGAAGCAAGAAGCATTTCATTTGCACATCTTTCTTGGACACGGGATACAAAGTTCCAGTTTATTAGCAGCAATTGCTAGAGCAAGGATTTTGGGGTTTTGGGTTAATTGCTTCTAAGAAAAATTCCATAGTGGACTGTTAAAAAAAGAAAAATCAGTTTAGGATGATGAAATAAATTGCTAATTTAAATATTTGTTTGAAGTATTCAGGGTCTGATTTTAAAATGTCTAGTCTTTTATGTAATTTTTGTTTCATAGGGAATATTACCCATTTTAAAGATTACTTATTTTATTCAGCACTGCTCTTTAAAACCCTTCTATATAAAAAGTACGCTGTTCAAAATTGTGTTCTTGGCCTATAAATTGAGAACTTTGATGTAAAGCTCTTGGTTTGGAAGGTCTTATGATAATGCTGATTTATTTTAACCAAACACCAAAGCAGGGAATAACCAGTTTCCGACCTTTGGACTAGTGTGGTTTGTTAGTGGGAGGTAATTTAAATTTAAATTAAGTGATTACTCAGAGGAGTTAACATAAATGAGTAGAAACTAAAATATAACTGAAAAGTAAAAATGACAGCTTGACAGAGTTTTGCCTTAGGCTAAAGGCATTAACACTGGTGCCTATCTACGGGAAATTTTAGTCTTCGATATCTAGTCCACCCTCCCACCCCCACCCCCATTTAAAAAAATTTTGGGTAAACCCTAAGGATGTATTGGTTTCAAAACTGAAGTGATTTGTCAAAACAGTCCACACTGCTAAAAGACATTAGTGGTTTCACTTTAAACCAGCTATAAGTAGGAAAAAAATTGAAATCTCATTTGCTTTTTTTAATGAGTTAGCACATCCCATATTTTAGAACAGGTAGGGATGCCTTGCTTAAATTAAGATAGCATTCAGTGTATAATTAATTGTGTGAAGGGTTTATGGATAAAGCTGTATTTCTGTCACATTGTGACAGTACCTTCTGCTTTAATATTAAACAGCTTGTTATTTAAATACTGGATCAAAATGGCTGGCTTCAAAATGTAGTCTTTACTAAGCTAACTATGTGCACCTGTCTAGGAGAATTAAAGTCCTGTGTACTTTCTTTGCCTTGTCCATGTTCTCAGGGTGACGACTGCTACGTAGTTACCAGGAGATGCAGTTCTAGTTCCTAAAAATGCTTAAATCTAGATGTTTGAGAGATGACATCTGGAAGAGAGATTGTCTTTCATTTATTACATAACTGTCTGATTACCAGCTAAGATTTGAAATCACTGTACTGTAAGTAGTCAATAAATGAAGGCCTGTTTTAGGCTGAAGAGTTACTTAAGTGTATTTATTATCGGAGTGTGTGTGAGTTAACTGAATATATTTTTATTACATCAAATCCTGGTGTATTACATAAATGGCTAATTTTCAGTGGTGTAGTTTTTTTGTGTTTTAATCACCTAACTGTAAGAACACAATTTAATCAACCAGCTTAATATCTTTCTTTGATGATAATGTGTTCATAAATGGTTAAGTGTACCTAGTTTTGAGAATTGGTATCCTTCGTTGTACAAGTGTGATCTATTAAAGTGTGATTTATTCTCTCTTCCTTAAGTAGTGGATATTTGATTTGCTGTGGAGAAAATCTTGAAAATCCAACAGGACTGGGATTAGTGAGGAGTTGATTCATTGTACTTCAAATTCATTTCTCCAGGAAAAGACTGAGCAAGAGCACTGAAATGGTCAGCTTGAAGAGGGTCACTCTGTGCCATGCTAGTGGCTCCGTTCGTGTAAGAGGCCTATATGTACTGCGTGTACATAGACGATTGAGCTGCCATTCATAATGTTGGCTACTAAGTGAATGATTTTTGACAGGCAAGTATTACTAAAGGAGAGGGGTAGAAAGGCACATGAAGCAGTAAAATAGCGTTTAATTCTGTCACATCAGAAGGCGTACATCCTTAATTGGCGGAAATGGGTCATACGTCACCATTTGCTATTGAAGAAAGAAACAGTGACTTTCTTCAGTTGAGCCCTTGATGTCTTTATAGCTTTGTCATAAAGCTCTCAAAATACTGGGGAGACTGGGATATATATCCATGGTCCACATAGCCTGCTTTGGTCTAACTATTTCTCAAGAAACTACCCAGGAGAATGTTGATCATTCATGTAGATCCCAAAGAGGAAATTGCTGAAGATTGTAAGCTGGTCTAATACGTTCACTCACAGCAGACAGGGAAGCCAGAGTATGTCCGTCCCTGTCCGAGCCACCAAGGCTTTAGGCATATCGGGAAGAGTGCAGGGAGGGCGCACATGCAGAGTGGATGGCTCGTAAGTGTGGAGAAGAAGGCTAAGACAACTGTATGGTTATCACTTTTATGTGGTGACTGCTGATTACTAAATAGTTGTAGTAGCATCCTCTGTGCTTAGCGTGCCTCAGATTTTGACTTGAAGGTTGGTTTACTCTGATCACTCAAATATGTGAAGGGATTCCTATTCAAGTAGGTCTTAGTAAAAATGTATCTCCATCAATAGAGCAGGGGCAGGCCCTAGTTCCAGAGGTTTTGGAAAAATCAAATCCCCTAATGTAGAGATGCATTTTTTGCCTGAAAGAAGCAGATTAAGACGTAATCCCTGACGTCTGTTGGAACACACATAGGGCTTAGTTTGCTGGGATAACCTTAAATTTGTTTGTATTTTATTTCTGAAGGAAAGAGTTTCAAAGTGGTATAATTAAGTCTCCTTCCCACCTTTTACTTCAGCTACTCAGTTTCCCGTCTCAGGTGACAATGTCAGTTTTTAATGTATTTAGTGTATATATAAGAAAATAAAATATATTGTCATTTTTAATATAAATTAAAACATATGGTACATGCTGCTGTTTCTGTTCCACTTAATATATTTTAAATATCGTTCCATATAAGTATATAAAACTTTTCCTCATGTCTTTTTAATAAATATGGACTTTGGATGTATGTAATTTAGCCTGTCCCTTACAGAAGAATATGTAAATTGTTTCCAATCTTTTGCTGTTTTAGTGTTGAAATGAATTGCCTTGTATAAACATGTACACATGAGGGATCTCCAGAAAGTTCATGCAAAAATGGTTGAAAAGAATGGAATTTTTTCACCAAGTTCTTGATGTCCCCTTGCATATATTTTATATATGCAAATTTTCTGTAGTAAATTCCCTAAGGTGGTTAGAGTATGCGCATTTATTTATCTAAAATTAAATTTGTACTCCAAATTGTTAGATAGCTGTCCATTGTTAGCCCCAGCAACTTCTGTGCCATTGCGGTAAGTGTTTTGAGTTTGCGTTTTAAGGTATTTTCCTGTGCGGTACCATTATTATATGTTTAAAAGCTTTTGGACTTCCTTTTCTGTGGACATCATATCCTTTTCCTTTAAAAAAAAACCCTGCTAAATTACAAAATACAAAAATAGAGAAGTACCCCTTATAAGAACCAATTATCAGAGTATTTTTATTTGTAAATATTTCAATATGTATTTCCTTAAGAAAAAATGCTTAAAAATATTAATTTACCTAAAAAACGATTAATTTACCCAATATCTATCTGATTTGTCGTTATTTTAAAGTTTATTTGAATCAGGGTCTAGATAGTGGTCCAGACATTTCAAATGGTTACTTCTGCTGCATTCTCTTGTAACCTTTTAATAGAAAAGTTTTCAAGCATACAGGAAAGATGAATCACACACACTCTTATACTTATTGTCTAGTTTCTATAATGTTTTGCTGTGTTTTCTTTTATATCCACCTACTTTTTTTTTTTAAATGCATTTAAAAGTTGTAGGCATCTATACTTTACCTTTTCAGTATATCATTAACTATAGGGTTTTTTCCCTCACAGGGGTAAAACGTACAGTGAGGTGAAGAAATAAAGTGTACCAGCAATGACATTTTTATGTACAACTGTAACTCAAAGCCTTAGCAATCTAGAATAGTTCTGTTGTGTCAGAAAATGGCTTCACTCAGTCTTGCAATTCCCTTGATGCCTCTGCGGGTGACCACCGTTGGGATTTAGTTCACCTTAGATTAGTTTTACCTTCACTGTAGATTAGTTTGGCCTATTGTAGAATTAATTTCATATAAATGGAACCATGTAGTATGTACTCTTATGTAAGGTTTCTTCCAGCATGTTTTTAGATTTTTTTTTTTTGTATTTCCACTGTTGTTCCTTTTCATTTCTGAGTAATAGTCTGCTGTATGCCAGGATTTAACTTTTCACCTGTTAATGGACAATGGGCTGTTTCTAGTTTTTGGCTATTATGAATAAAGCTAATAATGAACATCTGTGTGAGCCTCTTGGTGGATGTGTTAGGGTTCTCTAGAGAGATAAAACCAGATTGCTAATAATTATATATAGGTAGATTAGATAGATGACACAAGAAATACACAGTTAAATTATAAAGCAGTTATACAGATAGATATATAACAAAAAATAAAGTTAAATTATAAAGCCGTACAAATGGCTCAGTATAATTCAAACGTGTTAGAGATTTGTGAGACACTGGCAGTCCTTCAAGTCTCTGTAGAGAGAGTCAGATTCTTCCGGCACAGGCAGCAAACAGCAAGGCAGGTCACCAACAGTCAGTCCCCAGCTCAAGAGATGTAAATTCCAATTGTGTGGTGAAGCAGGTCTTGAAGGAACCTCAAATTATAGCGACACACTCCACAGGTTAGGATGTCCCACAGGTAGTGTAGCTTGCAAATTGAGGCACAGAACAAGTAACGCAGTTGCACACTGGTCCGATGATCAAAGAGCGAGAGACAAGAGACGAGGCTCGCTGAGCCATTTATCTTTCCACCCTCCAATTAATCCCACGTGTTTATCGGCCAGGTTGGCACAATAAACTAACTACCTCAGTGGACATACATCATACTTCCTTTGGTCAAGTATTTGAGTAAACATCCTGAGAGAGAGCTTTGAACCAATTTAAATTTGTTCAGAAATGGCTGATGAAACAAAGTTGAAACAGAGCCATCAGCCATTGGAAGTAGAATGATTACCAGAATGGGAAAGTGGGCTGAAGGAAGCCCTGGAATGGGCAGCTCAGACCTGGTGTGGGAGGCACGTTGCCAGCACTGGAGTGACATGTTAAGAGTGGCACCCTTGGCTGCATCTTTGAGCAGGGTGTCGTTCTTTCTGATTGTCGTTCAAGAGATCTAATGGTTATGCACATGTCCTGTGAGCTAGGTTACCTTCTAGCAAGGTGTAGACCTGTAGTTTTTCCTGTTGCAATTATTCCAGAATACTCGTATTTTACAAATTTAGGCCTGTTTGCGTACACTTTGTTGTTGGCTATGAATGAACTGAGAAGAGGCAGTTTGGGGCCCTGGTGTATATTAGTTTTTACTGGTAATTACCTGTTCCCTCTGTGATCATATTTTACAGCCCTACCAACAATGTGAGCGTTCCAGTATGCCCGCATTCCCACCAGCATTTGGTGGTGGCAGCCTTTAATTTTGCTTATTTAAATGTTTCATGTGTAGTGGTGGGCTAAGTAAAAAGAGGAAGGCCCTGGCTGCCACAGTGGGCTCAAGGAACAATAGGATGGTGCAGGACCAGACAGTGTTTTGTTAAATTGTGCATAGGGCTGCTGTGGGTCAGAACCAATTTGATGGCACCTAATAAAGGCTATTGGTATCCCATAAGTCTAATGTGAGTTTATCTGACAATGTTGTTGGCCACTTTGTACTAAGGCTTATTCAAATATATTTCTTGGTGGTCTATTTCTTTGACACTATAGGCTTCTACCCCCCCCCCTTGTTTTTGTTGGAGTAATAAGACTTTAGGGTTCCCACTGTCTGAATTTTGATTTTTGATTGCCCATTCTAGTTTGCTGCAACCCCTGTATCCCGACTGTGAGTTTGAACATTTCCCTCCTTGTTTAGCATCTCTTTTTGTTTAATGTGGCAGAAATTATTTTTGTGCTTCTGATTTCAGAGCCACCTTTTATGGCTTCTGGGTTTGTGTCAGAAATGGGACTTGACAGTGAAATTATTTTGAAAGCACCTAGTGATAAGGATGAAAGTCCACAAGCTGCATCGACTGGACTATGGACAGAGCCGTTGGCTGCTCATTGAAAGTAGCGGCACTGTAATGAAATGAGCTCCTTTACATGGTCTTTTGACAAACAGCTTTGAGACATTTTTCACTTAAGCCTTGAATATTGCTAACCTTTGGCCTCTTTAAGGATTGACTTGCACAAGGTGAACAACTGAAGAACTTGGCTTTCATAGTTTGTCTGGAGCTGGGCTGTAGTGTGCCCTATGATTGCCATGTACCTTGGCCAGTTGCCCATGCAAATGAGGTGATTTGTAACCTACTAGGCAAGAGGAATATCCCTAGAGGACTGAGAAGTTTGGGACCCTTGCTGGGAAGGGCCGTACCTTGAAGTTGACTAGGAGTTGTGTAAGCAGCCAACCTCAGATTAGCAGAAAAGTACAGAGCCTCAAAGAGCTGGAACTAAGTTGGGGTTTCAGCACTGAAGAGCCTGCCATGACACATGGCAGGGCCGCGAGGAGCCTGTGCAGTGGGCCAAGAAGAGACCTAAACGGCTGATAATGAGCTGAGGAGCTGCCCTATCCTGCGTTGTACCCACTTACTTCCTTAACCATGTAAAAGCTTATATGGTCTGTGACTCCTGTGTGACTTGCAGTGGATTACGGGACTCGGAGATAGTGCCATGGGAGGGAGGACTAGTCAGAATGGGTGCGAAGGTTTAAGGTCCAAAATCTCACGTCTCCTTGGGTTCTGCCTTGAACTCATCTTGATTTGCATGATCTCCCCTGAAGTTAGGGTGAGATGATGCTAATAACACTACTACTCCTGCCTGGGTTTTACAGTCACCAAGATAAATGTAATTAGAAGTAAGCTTCAGCTGACCCATAGACTAAATGTCACAAGGTCAACCCCAGAAAAGGTTATGATGCTTTCTCCCTGCCACCTCACAACACTGGAATACTGATCCAAGAACTATAAAGAGACTGAGTTTACAATTTCTGACAAGCATAATTCCATCAGTTTCTAGTCCCCTCAAGAAAGCGAATGGATTACAAATGGCGTGTGGTGGTAACACATACGATGTCTCCATGAGTCAATGGACACCAGCAACTGTTAGTTGGTAATTAACTCAAATTTGACATGCACAGCAATGCTTACAATTCGTTCTGTTTCATTTCGAGATAATGTTCTTTGAATATAGTTAGTGTTTTATAGGTATGTCAATTGTTGATACAGTAGAACTCTGGACCGGACCGCAACGCTAATCCGTTCTAGGAGCGTCACGATGCGATGCAGTGGAGTTCCGAATCAATAAAATGTTTTGAGAACAATGAGGGCAATGAGTGTACAAATGCGCTTTACACAATTGATGTGTGTATGGATTGTGATAAGAGTTGTATGAGCCCCTAATAAAATGATTAAAAAAAAAATAACTAAAAACAGATTGATCCGTTGTCAGCCACTAAGTTTTTACCCTAAACTTGCCTTTTTACACAAAACATTACACAGAAACTTCAAAGTAAATAAGCTCAGAGTTAATCTAATTTAAATAAGAAACATTAAAAAAGTTTTTAACAACTACAGAATGGCCCATACCTTGAGACAGGAGGATGTGGGTCTGTGACACGGATGGGGAGAGTAGGTGTGCAGAGAGAGTCGTTATTTGGAAGGGGAATCCCCATCCATAAAAAAGACCGGGAGCTGCTTTTCAGGAGTTTTTCCCTTCTTTGCCTTTTTTCACTAGGACCTGGCTGGCTTTCTCTAAAAAAAAAAAAAAAATCAAAAAATCTGTCTAATGTGGTCTGCTGTTGGAGTTTCCTTAACTTTTCTAACAGGGTTTACTAAATTATCACCAATATTGATCACACAGTTAACCAGTTCCTTATCATGATTCTTTTCAAAAAAATTCTTAGGACCCATGTTATTTTTATCTAAAAACAGTGCAAAAAGCCACAAAAACGAAGAAAATTATAGCAAAACGCGTGGAACACAGCTGCAAAATGGTTAAGCGCGCACTAACAACGCCACCTAACGCCAAGTGACTGAAACACAAACTACTTTTATTTACAAAAATCACGTGCCTCGGGTCAGATCCGATGTTTTGTTTGAGCTCTGATGCAAAATTTTCTCTACATTTCGCATCAAAATCTGGTTATGTCGAGTACTGATGGGGTCGAGTACGGGGTTCTACTGTACTTGGGTTTTTGATTTGGTAAACTGACATGCTTGCAAAGAATTTTATAGAAAAATAATGTAAGTTAAGAAGTTGTTCTCATAAATGTTGATACAAGACTTCAATAATCTATCATTCCCAAGCCAGCTAAAGTCAGAATTATTAAGACTTGACCTGGGAGAACGATTGTTACTTTAAATATTAATTTGAAATAAATATTAAGCTAGAAATCAAAACAACTATTTGTTATACTTCCAAAATACAGTTGTTTTTTTTTTACTTTCACAAGCTTTAATCCATTTTCTTTTCCTTTTTTTAAAAAAACATTTTATTAGGGGCTCATACAACTGTTATCGCAATCCATACATACATTAATTGTGTAAAGCACATTTGTATATTCATTGCCCTCATCATTCTCAAAACATTTGCCCTCCACTTAAGCCCCTGGCATCAGCTTGTTTTTACCCCTTCCTCCCTGCTCCCCCCTCCCTCATGAACCCCTTCATAATTTATAAATTATTTTGTCATATCTTACACTGTCCGACATCTCCCTTCACCCACTTTTCTGTTGTCCGTCCCCCAGGGAGGAGGTTATAGACAGATCATTGTAATTGGTTCCCCCTTTCTACCCGACCCTCCCGGTTTTTCTGTTTTGTCTATTCATTTTTTTATATGATTTTCTGTATATCAAATTCAGGACAGGTATAGAGCTACAAAAAACTAAGAACAATGAGCATGAGAAGAAAATGTTCTGAAATTGATTGTGGTAACCACTTAACAAATTTTAATATGAATGAGTTATTAATTGTTTGATATGTGAAGTATATACAATTAAACTATTTTTAAAAAACGGACACAATTTTTGCTCTATTAGATTTAGGTTCCATTTTGTCCATTTTTATTCTCATTGTCTGTAACCCCTAGAACAGTGCAAGTACATGCAGGTGCACAAAGAATAAATTAGCATAACAGATATTTAAAGGGAAAAAAGACAACAAACTAGGCTAGAATTATTCATTTTATTTGTCTCTAGGACTCTTAAGCCCTCAGCTTCACCAAGTAACAGGCCATACTTCTGGAAGAACAACTCTTGCCTGGGTTATAATCTTGTCA